ATGAGTCATTTAGAATGTTCTTCTCAATTAAGCATTTTTGCTAACAAATAGTTTAATTTACAATAATTACATTCTCTGAAGTTCTGATAGAATCCTTCTCCACGATTAATCTTCTCTCTCTCTCTCTTCAACGTAACACGATCACGAGCCGAATGCTCTCGAATCGAGTTCCGTGAGGTCGGCGTCTCTGGGGAATACCCAAGCCGTGGAGTCCACATGCCGGGTTCTCCCACTCTTTCCGAAGGACTTCCGAGTGCGATCGCAATGACGCATCACGATATCGCTTCCGTGATGTTTACACTACATTTTGCATTCTCGCTTTTTATGCTAAGTAAAGAAGGACGAGATACTTCTCATCGCATCCGGTCTCTTTCTCGCCTTTCTCAAATCCTTGTGTTGCTGACCCATTCGGCACAACAACGTTGTGTCGACGTTGAAAAAAGGTTGATGGCAATGTTTGCCTCAATGTTGAGGAAAGGTTGACTTTTCAACGTAACATGTTGCCATGATGTTGCCACAATTTTGAAATGAAACACAGCTCAACGTTGAAAAGTTGATGCTGTGCGACGTTGTGGGCATTATAGTACCTCCTCCCTATTCCAGAGTTTGAATGAGCTTTGATTGTCGGATGAAATTGAATATGGACTCGATAACTTCATAGATGGTTCCCAAGAGGTGTGATACTAGCAGTACCCTATCGAGTACAATCATCCCACGTAACGGACCCTAAGAGTTTTTTTTTCCTCTACTGAATGAAAATTTACATTGAGTACTTGCATGACTCAAGTACCTCTCGGTCCAGTGGAGGAAAACAACCTCGCGGGCATGGTTTATACTCTATCCATCATGGATGAATCTGAATAAAAGCGTTTGCCATGTGGAGATTTAGGAAAATTGAGCGTGTCTTCTCGGACCCCCTAGCCAGAAGTACTTTGGGTCTCCTTCTCCCTGATTACCTCCTTAAACATATCTATCTAGGAATTCCTATACCTTCCCCTATGCTGTAAATGGGAAAAGATTGGGTACTGTTTGAAAAACGCTGGGTACTGGTTATTTAAAGGCACCAGGATAAGAATCGCGGAAATGGCGGTTATGTGCCATCTCGCGTCGATTCGTAGAACCTATTTTCTGTTGGTATGATGTGGATAACTCCACGTAAAAACAACATTGAGAATACGATTTATAAAAATGTTTCTCCTAGTAGCCTCTGAACGACTTCCCTAATTCACGAGTAGTCACCAAATGCTGAAAATACGGTTAATTATGAATAGCTANACCAAATGCTGAAAATACGGTTAATTATGAATAGCTAGCATTTCATTGATGTTGATTTTTCGTCGAATTCTCAACTTCAACCAAGTCTCAACGTTTCAACCTATTCTCAATGTTGATACAACGTTGTTGTGCCGAATGGGTAGGTCCGTATTGGGAGCGGGGGCTGTGCGTAGAATACTTCTCTCCCGCTGTAGTATTATAGATGGTATGGAAAGAAACGTTTAACTTTATTTGGTTCTGTGTTGTAGTTGGAAAGTTCTTGTCCCCCTTATGGGAGGCCCATGTATCGATTCCCGTCCACCCCATCGTTTTTCTTTGCTCAAGTCATCCGAACCCCCTCCGGGCTATTATGTTCTCGAGAATGGATCCGACAGCCGCAATGGCCGGAGGGAAAGTGCTCGCTCGAGAGAGCGTGACAGGCACCCTGCTACAGGGTAGAAGGCGCCGCGCATGCGCACTTGGCACTGCGGACATACAGACGCCCAAGCATAATATATAGATTGTGCGTCATCTCCAGTTCTTTTCCTTATCAAAGTGGTTCAAAAGAGTTTCCCGGAATTACACCCTGACATGGACTGATTAACCTTTTATATATTACTTCATGGATAAGGATGAGAGACGGCCGAACATTCACTTCACACAATTCATCCCTAAGAAAGTTTTTTTCGGGCGTAAAGGGAAGTTTTCATGAGATTCAGATTTACTGATATTAATGTTTTGCACGGTTTCCCGCGCAAAGACAAGCTTCGCCACCCTGTATGCTTGAAAAGAATGCCCTTCATTCTGAACCATTACACCCGAAAATGCGTTTCTGGGCAGATCTGCGTGGATTCCTTCGTCCCCCTTGGGGCAAATACGTCATGAGAGACCTGGTGTTCTCAAGCTTAGAGGCCTGAGCAGGATGCGGGCCAACCATATCAACAAAACACGATCCACGGCTTGGAGCAGCGAAGCTCGGTCGACGATCGCGTTCCGGGTTGAGTGCGGGACATGATTCCAATCGGGCTGATCCAGTTTCAACTCGGTTCAAAAGTGAACCCGCGCAGGCCTCTGACGCGCTGACAGACAGGAGGACGCATAGCAAGAAAGTGGGCAGCGTATTTTTTGGACTTTTGGACCAAAGAAGTATCGCCTCCAGGTCCTAAGCTTTCGATTGACACCTCACTCATGAAAATCCGTTCATCCGTCTAGGCGGAGTTTACCAGAATGACAGAATTACGGAGAGGTTAGCCTCTTATGTATATTGATGACTAGTCTAAAAGCCCGTGGACGCACGGGCTGAAATAAGTGGAATGAGAACATTTCGTGGATGACTTTTTGCTCTTTCTTCGTCCGTTTCACTATTCCTGGAAGTATCCTGCGAAGCAACGTTTTGGTAATTTCGTCATGCACGCATATCCACTGACTGAGACTCTAGAAGTTCTTTATTTCTATCACGTTCAGTAGATCTCGCCACATAATTGTTGAAACTTCCCCACTTTTTTTGGAACATTTTGTGAACGCCAACATTTAAAAATAATACTCCACTCGAGCACCAACTCGGTGTTGGAAACATGTTCGTCTTAAACCGGCGACGGAACTGGTAACGCGACAAAGTAAATTTGAGACCGCGAGTTCTGAAGCTCAAAGGACAATGTAGGCTTTGGACCGGTTCGTTCGGCAATCAAGTAACAGGTCCAGTGCAGGTCATGACGTGTGAGCACTTCTCAAGAAAGCTTTTGGTAAAGTGTTATTCTTATTGGCCGAAAAGTGGCCTCATCACATGAAAATTGGACGAATTTTTGGACTTTTCATCGAGGAAGTATTGTCCGGTCATACGCTAACGATTGACATCTCACTCGTGAAAATCCGTTCATCCATCTAAGAGAAATTTCTCCAGAATGACACCCTCACACATACAGATTATCCTATTATGTATTCAATATATGCCTATGGATGAGAGATGGCTGGGCATCGATGTCACACAAACCATCACTAAGAAATTGGTTTTTCCGGCGTATAGGGAAGTTTTCATGATTTCATGATTCAGATTTCCCTATACGTATGTCTTGCACGGATTCTCATGCCAAAGACACGCTTCTCCACCCTGTGTGTTTGCACAGAATGGCCCTCATACTGAACCGTTACGCGCAAAACGGCATTTCTGCGCAGACCTGCGAGGGTCCCTTTGTCCCCCCTTCCTTGGAGCAAATACGTCATCAGACACCTGAAGTTCTCAAGCTTAGAGTCCTGTGCGGGCTGCGGGCCTGCCATATCAGCAAAAACACGATCCGCGCCTCGAAGCAAGAAAGCTCGGTCGACGATCGCGTTCCGGGTCGGGTGCGGGCCACGATTCCAATCGGGCCGATCGAGTTTCAACACGGGAAAGTCAACCCGAGGAGGCTTCTGTCGCGCAGAAGCACAGGAGAACCCGTAGAAAGGACGTTCGCAGTGTACGTTTTGGACTTTTGACCCAATAAGTATCGCCTCCAGGTCATGAGCTTTCGATTGACACCTCAATTATTAAAATGTTAATCCGTCTAGGAGTTTCCCGGAATTACAAACATATTAACCTCTTATGTTATTGGATGGAGGTTGGATGGATTGATGGATTGATGGATGGATGGATTGATGATTGATGATGATTATTATCCGAGGATGTGCCTTTGCGAGATGAAGTTTACAAATCGACTTCAAGAAAAGAAGGGGAGACAACTTTCACAAAAAATAGAGATTTGCTCTTGTCTCGACATCTTTTGGATGGGGGAGGAGACGAGAGCTGTCAGTACTCAAAAGGTAAAGCTGGAATCGCTCTCTGCAATGTCTTCGCCTGCTGCAATGGAGCTGAAGATTTTAAGCGTCCGTGATGGAATGCGTCGGTTTCGTCGCCACTTGGGTTCACACGGGCTCAGCAAAGACGTCCATCGTCGCAGTTTTTTTTCGTGGGGGTCCCATCTTCAAAATGCAGAATTTCAGACTGCAAAATGACATGCTCCTTCTTTGTTGCTCACAACACCTGCAGTTCTTTAAAAGGGTTTCATCAATTTGTTTTCTTTGCCCAATATTCTTGGTTTTATTGTAATTTAGTTGCCATATGTACACTTCAACGTAGGACATAAATATGCAATATATCAGTCAATTCTGCAACTTCAGTAGGATCATTTGGCATTGCGTTTAAACTAAGTTTACTTCTACTTCCGACAAAACTCTTCTAAATTGATTTTTAATATACTAATTTAATCATGATCTCGCATCCTTAGAAATTAAAACTCAGAATTTAATCGTTAATTTCCAGGAAAATTAGCCTGAGTTATCAATAAGGGTTTTTGGACTTGAGTTAGACCTAAACCATTCAGGTACTTCAACTTCTCCCATCCTAAGACGCATTACTCCGGAGTCTCATAAGATATCATGGGATCTGGACTTTGAAAAAAAAAGAAATCCTAATCTGTCGGTTTTTTGTGAATCATTAATAGTTCCCCCATTCCTAGTGACGAAACAAAGAAAAGTACTTTCTCCGGTTCGGGCTTTCCTTGAATATCCTCTTTCTAGGATGCGATCAATGGGCGAAGAGGATTTCGAGGAAAAAGCATATGAAATGTCATGATATAGATATCATTCCAATAAAATTATATACGATTTTATGTTTTAGAACATGAATACAATTTCCTAACGAGGATTATCCAGGAAACATTCAATTTAGTCTCTCCAGCACTTTGTCATATCGAGTATTTCTTTCCAGAGAAATGGACTTCAAAGCTGCATTACGGCGCCTGAAGAGTGTCTTTAAGAGCAACGACACGCTTATCGACATGGACCTGTTCTTCGATAAGTTGGCAGAGAAGGACCTCATCTGTATGGCACAGGAGAGGGACCTGAGAAACAAGGAATACTTCAAAAGAATTGATGACACTTTTTTCATGCTCTATCAGAGGAATCCAGAGCCGACGTTCCGCGAAATTCTGGGCATTCTTCGAGACATGCGAAGAGACGATATCATTGCAAGGCTTCAGGAGGCACCCGGGTCAGCCATAATCTCAACTCCATACTTTCTCTGTACGTTCTAATAGTGTGATGTGGATTTATATAAGCACAAGACCGAGCCGGTTAACATCTTTCAGCTCGAATTTCATCGCTGGGACTTTGCCTCTTCTCGCTTTAGCAACCAATTACAAATACCTATCAAGCAAAAAAATCTACTGAATAAATATCTTCAATTAAAGTATAGTCCCACGCTTTAAAAAGGCAAATGCTGACTCCAGTTGCCTTCCAACCAGCATATTGATGCGTTTGAGGACATGCAAGGCCTGCTTCGAATGGTTCCATGATAATTAAGTGGGAGCCGCTGAGTAGAAATGGTTATTTGCCAGGGATCTGGGTTGTCCTGGTGAAAGTTACTCTCTTCTTTTAGTGATGAAACATTTTACACCCCACTCTAAACGCTGTTAATATTCCAATACACACTTGAATTATAATAATGACAAATCTATATGCTGCCCCTGGCGAAAGAAATGGAATAAATGTCACCAGAGTGAAGGTTATATCAAACGAAAAAAAAATTATAGAAAATGCTCATGTGAAATTATGTTGAGGAAGTGACAGTAAAAAAGGCTCGTCTTGAATGACAGCTGCATAAATTTACCATGATGCATCAAGAGGCTGGAGAAGTAAAGTTCATTGCAATATCTATGACGCAATTATTAATTGAGCCTTTGTATTTCAGGCTGAAAAAAAAAGAAAGATTTGGAAAGTATTACCTTTGTTCATGAGAAAAGTTTCCATGCCGCCAATATTTGCAATTTATCAGCTGCGTAAATTGAGTTTGAGACGAAACTTCTCTGGAAGTAGGAGAGGGATGTTGATTTTTAAGGAAAATCTCACAGCATGCCTTAGTACAAAGCTGGATGAGACTGATTCGCTTATACCATCCTTGAGCATAACTTCGTGACTGTCACCACATCCATTTTTGAATTCATGCTTGAATTAGCTCGATATGATTTCCTTTATTGCTCAGAGTTGAAGAAGGAAGACGGGAATCAAGAACCAGAGGGTGCAACGGTTTCCAGTACAACACCTCTAACTCCTCCCCCTCAGAAAAAGGTGCGCATTGAGAAGGCGAACGTGGCAAGTGAACCATGTTGGCCACCAAAATGGTAAGTCTGAATAAACAAGGTGGGCCATTAAACCCATACAGTTTTCAACAATACTTTACACACTACATATATCATAATGCAGTTTGCGGCATTTGATAGAGGAATGATGAATGTTTAAAAAGGTGTTCTTACATTTCAAATTAGTTCACACCAGCGGGAAAAGCATATGCAATTCGGTGGATAAGTAGTTCTTCCAGCTCTTAATTTTGAAAAAAAAAACTACTTTTGGAACATGTCCTCTGATGGTACACCTTTTTTGGGGAACAATTACTGGATATTTTGTCGTTGCAGCGAAATTAACGTCAATAGAATGCTGAATTTCAGTGAATATTTAGGTAATCGCTAGAATTGAAGTTAAAATCTAGTGATTTGGGCGCCCCACACTGGCTCCTTCTCATGGTGGGATGGGAAGTTGTAACCTCAACATTTTGACGCTTGACAAAATGTTGACATGAACGAATGCTCATTCTGTATTCCACTCAGCAGCAGCAATCTTCAGACAGAAGTGGGTCCAGATGATGCATCCCAGCCTGATGCAGAGACTCGGTTCCATAGCAATTCTTATTAACAGGTATTTTCCTGCTTTTTTGTGTTATTTTATAAATAAATGTGCAGGCCATAATAAAAGTATTTCAATATTGCCGTTTTGAGTCAAATAACACTGTACACAGTTCTAATCACGTTGACAACATTTAGGCGAAGTCTGGAACATGTACAGTATATGAAATAGACAATGGATAAAACCTATTTTGGTCGTTCAATTGAAGTCTTTATCCACTTATGTGCTGAGAAAATGCAACAACTATATTATTTCACGTAGAAAATGTAAAAGAATGTCATGGGGTATATCATGACTGCAGTAAAAAAATGTCAGCTTTCCCAATTTCTTCTGCTGAAAATTATCCTTACAAATAAAGTATGCAACTCTTTGCACTGGATTGCTAATGGAAGCTAAGCTCTGGGTAATCCATGTTATGTCAGAAAAGGAATCGCTATGCCTTCAGCCTTATTTTTAGCAGATACTCCATCCATGATAATCGAGTAGAAAAAACTCAACACCTGATATTTCTACTATACCTATGTGAAGTAAGCAATGTGTCTCATAGTAACTTGGTTTCATAGATTTCCTTTTTCTACAGGACAGGTGTAAATGCGATTTTTCCTGTGACCTCGATCGAGTCGCTTCACCAACCGTGTGCAAGATTGAAGTTGGATTAGATATCCGAACTTACCTCCAGGTCAGTGCGAAGGAAAAGTGAATTGTATCTGATGGAATGGTATCCCAGGGCGTTACTATACAGGTGGACACGTTTCAATAAATTTCTGCATGATTTACATATTTTGCTCCGTTTTGTTCCAGATAAATCAGTCCCATTAATCCCAACGATTACACATAGCGTTAATAAGTTTATGAGCCAGAATAAGCTCCTGATCTTGGACTGCTAGTTTTTTATGGGATTTCTTTACAGATAAGTTTTTCTCCACCAATCTACAGATAATTGATGCACTCAAATTTTCTGTTGCTAAAGCTTCTTCTTCTTATCCGTTCAGTCGAGTACGACTCTCGGCCACACTATGGATCAGTGTTCTCCATGTCTTCCGATCTCTCACGGCTTCTTTCAATTCTGCTATGTTCTGATAAGTTGGCAGAGAAGGACCTCATCTGTATGGCACAGGAGAGGGACCTGAGAAACAAGGAATACTTCAAAAGAATTGATGACACTTTTTTCATGCTCTATCAGAGGAATCCAGAGCCGACGTTCCACGAAATTCTGGGCATTCTTCGAGACATGCGAAGAGACGATATCATTGCAAGGCTTCAGGAGGCACCCGGGTCAGCCATAATCTCAACTCCATACTTTCTCTGTACGTTCTAATAATGTGATGTGGATTTATATAAGCACAAGACAGAGCCGGTTAACATCTTTCAGCTCGAATTTCATCGTTGGAACTTTGCCTCTTCTCGCTTTAGCAACCAATTACAAATACCTATCAAGCAAAAAAATCTACTGAATAAATATATTCAATTAAAGTATAGTCCCACGCTTTAAAAAGGCAAATGCTGACTCCAGTTGCCTTCCAACCTGCATATTGATGCGTTTGAGGACATGCAAGGCCTGCTTCGAATGTTTCCATGATAATTAAGTGGGAGCCGCTGAGTAGAAATGGTTATTTGCCAGGGATCTGGGTTGTCATGGTGAAAGTTACTCTCTTCTTTTAGTGATGAAACATTTTACACCCCACGCTAAACGCTGTTAATATTCCAATACACACTTGAATTATAATAATGACAAATCTATATGCTGCCCCTGGCGAAAGAAATGGAATAAATGTCACCAGAGTCAAGGTTACATCAAACGAAAAAAAAATTATAGAAAATGCTCATGTGAAATTATGTTGAGGAAGTGACAGTAAAAAAGGCTCGTCTTGAATGACAGCTGCATAAATTTACGATGATTCATCAAGAGGCTGGAGAAGTAAAGTTCATTGCAATATCTATGACGCAATTATTAATTGAGCCTTTGTATTTCAGGCTGAAAAAAAAGAAAGATTTGGAAAGTATTACCTTTGTTCATGAGAAAAGTTTCCATGCCGCCGATATTTGCAATTGATCAGCTGCGTAAATTGAGTTTAAGACGAAACTTCTCTGGAAGTAGGAGAGGGATGTTGATTTTTAAGGAAAATCTCACAGCATGCCTTAGTACAAAGCTGGATGAGACTGATTTGCTTATACCATCCTTGAGCATAACTTCGTGACTGTCACCACATCTATTTTTGAATTCATGCTTGAATTAGCTCGATATGATTTCCTTTATTGCTCAGAGTTGAAGAAGGAAGACGGGAATCAAGAACCAGAGGGTGCAACGGTTTCCTGTACAACACCTCTAACTCCTCCCCCTCAGAAAAAGGTGCGCATTGGGAAGGCGAACGTGGCAAGTGAACCATGTTGGCCACCAAAATGGTAAGTCTGAATAAATAAGGTGGGCCATTAAACCCATACACAAAAGTTGTTATGAAATGTGTGATGTATATAGTATTACGTCAAACGCCGTAAACTATCTCCTTACTACTTACAAATTTTTCCACAAGAATGTAAAGTTTAATCAAGTGTGGTCGCCCTTTTCGTATGGCAATTCGGTGGATAAGTAGTTCTTCCAGCTGTTAATTTTGAAAAAAAAACTACTTTTGGAACATGTCCTCTGATGGTACACCTTTTTTTTATGAACAATTACTGGATTTTTTGTCGTTGCAGCGAAATTAACGTCAATAGAATGCTGAATTTCAGTGAATATTTAGGTAATCGTTAGAATTGAAGTTAAAATCTAGTGACTTGGGCGCCCCACACTGGCTCCTTCTCTTGGTGGGATGGGAAGTTGTAACCTCAACATTTTGACGCTTGACAAAATGTTGAGGTTATACCTTCCCCTAAAGATATTTCCTTCTCCTTGATGTGCAGTACGTGCATGGAATTTCCGAGTTCATATAAGTTACCTTCATTTTTTATTGAAGTGCCGAGGAAGCGATCATTGCTAGTTTCGTTATTTGATAATGAATGCGCCCGATTAAATGCGCACATGAACGAATGCTCATTCTGTATTCCACTCAGCAGCAGCAATCTTCAGGCAGAAGTGCGTCCAGATGATGCATCCCAACCTGATGCAGAGACTCGGTTCTATAGCAATTCCTATGAACAGGTATTTTCCTGTTTTTTTTGTATTATTTTATAAATAAATGTGCAGGGCATAATAAAAGTATTTGAATATAGCCGTTTTGAGTCAAATAACACTCTACACTGTCTTAATCATGTTGACAACATTTAGGCGAAGTCTGGAACATCTGCAGTATATGGAATAGACAATAAATAAAACATATTTAGGTCGTTCAATTGAAGTATTTATTCACTTATGTGCTAAGAAAATGCAACAACTATATTATTTCACGTAGGAAATATATGAGAATGTCATGGGGTATTACATGACTGCAGTAAAAATGCAAGCTTTCCCAAGTTCTTTTGCTGAAAATAATCCCTACAAATAAAAGTATGCAACTCTTTGCACTGGATTACTAATGGAAGCTAAACTCTGGGTAATCCATGTTATGTCAGAAAAGGAATCGCAATGTCTTCAGCCTTGTTTTTAGCAAATACTCGATCCATGCAAAACGAGTAGAAAAAACTCAACATCTGATATTTCTACTATACTTATGTTAAGTAATCAGTGTGTCTCAGAGTAACTTGGTTTCATAATTTCCTTTTTCTACAGGACAGGTGTAAATGCGATTTTTCCTGTGACCTCGATCGAGTCGCTTCTCCAACCGTGTGCAAGATGGAAGTTGGATTAGATATCCGAACTTACCTCCAGGTCAGTGCGAAGAAGAAGTGAATTGCATCTGATGGAATGGTATCCCAGAGCGTAACTATACAGGTGGACACATTTCAATAAATTTCTGCATGATTTACATATTTTGCTCTGTTTTGTTCCAGATAAATCAGTCCCATTAATCCCAACGATTAAACATAGCGTTAATAAGTTTCATGAGCCAGAATAAACTCCTGATCTTGGACTGCTAGTTTTTTATGGGATTTCTTTAAAGATAAGTTTTTCTCCACCAATCTACAGATAATTGATGCATTCAAATTTTCTGTTGCTAAAGCACTCTGAGGCATAACGCTCAAGGCGCTGGACTATGTTATTGAAAGCACAGCTGTATGTTCCAGAGCGATTATCCAAGGGAATGGTGAACAGTATCCAACATTATATTTCCAACATTAAAAGAACTTCCAAAGGTCGTCCATCATATGACATGTAATTTAATTTTCTACCTTAGTAATTAATTAAAATATAGATCAATGAAATGGGCTAACACAAAACGACGAAAGTAACGAAATGTGTGGGTGGGGGAAATGTATTCCAAGAAATACTGGAACTGTGAAATTGAACTTGAGTCCATAGTGTATGACTTCCATCTATCTGAACGAAAATTTAGAACGAGGTAACTGGCATCGGAAATTTCATCATATTTTCATATGCATTGCATAACAAATATATTCACCACAATTTTCCAAATCTAAAAAGCAAATATCTGCTACCGATGCACCTTAAGAAGCCAATTTATGAACACAATCCTGCCCGCGATATCAAATCTGTTTCGTTTCGAAGACGCTTCTATATGCTCGTTATTTCAGGTGTACGTGGGAGATGGAACCCAGGAACCATTCTCGAAGGCGGCTGAAGAGTATCTTCGCCAGCACTACCCGAGGGCAGGGAAATCCCATTACTCCTTCCCTCTGGTTACCTCCTCCAGGAAGAGGACTTCAATGTCCTCATCAATCAGGCAAAAGAGGAGAATCAGCATCCTATGGGCGAGGATCCAGAACTACCACAGGAGTATGTAGCAGTTGCTACGGTTTTCGGTCGGGCAAAGGACATATGCACAGGCTCGGCACCATCTCTGGTGGTAGCTAAATACGAATTCTCTAAAACGTTCAACCAAGCCTTTTGTAGGATCCCAAAGTTGCAACTAAAAAAAATGAAAACGAAACATTACATCCCTGAATTCAAGGACGGTCATCACGACATATATATTTCTTACCCAAATGGCGACCAGGTTTACAACGTCTTCTTTCAAGTAAAAGACACTGTCTCCGAAGAGCATCCAAAGACTGTGCATGACAGGATCAGGACCGCGATCCGCCTATGTGACAACGACAGAGAAATTTTTGAAGCCATGTGTGGGCATTTTCTTGGAAGCAATGGGATCGTAGTTGCCTTCCCCTGTTTTCCCTTCATCGAGAGACAGGATTTGCAGAAGCTTCTCAATTGCAATTCCTGCCCATGGAAGATCGTGACCAGTAACGATATTCAGCATCCAAACGATTTCGCATGTTTCTGAAGAAGAACGGCGGTTTTTTTCCCAATGGGAAAAAACTTTGAAAATGAGGTGTGGTTGACATGGCAGCATAGGTCTAGCTTATCAGTGTTGGGGAAAGGTAAACCTAGCGAAATGATCTCTTATGCACAAGGTACGACCATTGTGGGAACTTTTTAAAGAAAGTTCCACCATCTCCCGGACAGTTGGTCCTCTCACCGTGCTCATGAAATCCCTGTTATGATGGCTGTTGACTTGATATTCGTTCAAAATGAATGCTTTTCTTACGGCAGTGGCCTACATGGGATGAGGGAGCGAAAAGAATTGGAGAGGAAGCCGTGGAGAGGGGAGGTATCCTGGATTCTAGCACTGGCGCCATCTCATCTGTGACATGGGAAGTCCTCAATGAAAATGAGGATTTCCCTCTGCTTTCATCCGTGACCCCTTTCGTCGATTGGGGATACGAGTAGGGTAGAACTGAAAGTAAGTGGAAGAGTCACAGAGGATAACGTGCCTCCTTGGGTCTGTATGGTTATTGCCAGTGAAATTCGATATGAGTCCAAGTGTTACTTTAGGATTCTGTGCATTTAAAGACTTCTCCTTCGTATATTCACCAGTGAACTTTCATACAAATCATGACAATTCCTAATGTAGAATTACCCTGGAACCCATATTGTACCAACCTGCATCTGTCGCTTTCGTTTTGCCTCAGTCTAGTCATGTCATGTCAACTCCTCGAAGTTCCGTGCAGTCAACTTTCAATGATGAGGAATGAAACCAGCACTCATGCCTCCATGAACGCTGTCAATGTAGTTCACATGCATGGACTCCTTCCCACGTCCATCTTAGATTGGTGTACAGCCCTTCGTTCGAAACTCTGGTCAGGAAAGTGAAGCATGTAATGTAACCCTAATCAGAGTTATGAATCACTGAACCAAATTTTCCCAATATGCTTCTGGAAATTGAACGAAGAGCGAAAGCATTTCAGATGAATGGGAGATAATTACACTCTCCACGCCAATACAAGAGGCTTCTAAGCTGCCTACCATCAACCGCTCTCCAATGATAGCCAGCTCGAAGTTCGACATTTAAGGGCCCATTAATATCATTGAGATAAATAAAAGAAATATATCAGGATGTGGTTGGAAGGTACAGAGTGTTTCGAAAGTTTTTGACCCACCTATGTAAGATGTGGCTAAATGCTATTTCAAATATAGTGAAAACATTGTAGTTATCTACATGGGCTATATGAAGATCCTGGCGATCTGCTCAGACAAAGAAAAGGCTGTGCTGATGCAGGACGGAGGCTCATGCCTCTTGTTCGAATTGTTCGAGTTTGTATTGTTCGAAAATCTCACAAGATCCTAAAGGATTTCTTCTTACAGGACGTCTACCGCTTCAAGACTTCATTCATATTCATTGCATAATTCTACGAAACTGAGGTTTAGAACTTCATGTGGAATTCTTCCCATAGAACATATTTTCACAAATATGTTCGGAGGATTTGCGAACACAATATGCACTTGGACAGGTACATACGAAGTGTACCACAATGTACCTCACCTTCCCTATTAACATACAATTGAAATACTTCCTATGAAATGCCTTTACTTAGTTGATCGAAAGGACTTCATTTAATCTGCATATGCACTCCTTTTACCAGCAGACGACAAGGTGGACGTACCAACTGTAGCTGCCGATGAAGAGGAGAGAATCTTCAAGATACTCAGACTGAACAGAGTGGAATGGGAAGAAAATTACCCGTCCGCGCTATTGGAGACGAGGACTTTAGGAGGCTCTGTCAGTAGAGGAGGTGTCTTGGAGTCCCAGTCCCTCTGTTTCACAGGGTCTCTTCTCCACCTTCCTCTACTCCCAAGTCCGTTTATCACATATTGATAGGTTCCTTTACGCGGGTTGACAAGTAGTGAGCCAACATATGATTCTCCATGGACACAGTAAAGGAAGTATCAATCCGAGTGATGAACAGTCGGGTGGGAACATCCAAAAAAAAGTAGTTATCCGAAACCAACGTGGATAATGGAAAGAAGTTGGGGAAGGGCGTCGTTTATTAAACATCTTCAGGTTCCTCTCTGACAGAATCAACAGGAACGAAATTTGGCATACTTCTTCCTCTCTCACCACAGAATTGCTCCAGAAAATTTGAAACTCCATCTCCCCGGGGGTTGTGGAGAACCCTTAATCTCGTTTTTGGAGGATGTGAATTTCATTCCGTTTTATTTCTCACGCCCTGGGTAGCCAGGTGGGTTTTCGGAGGAAACAGACCAACCATGAGAAAGATATTGTCATGTAGATGAAGAAGAGTGGCTTTTTTGTTGTTTGCGATGCTCCATTTCCCCATCTAAACAAATGAAATAAGCAGTCGCTCAATTAGGCTTAGAGTGCAAGCTCCGTTACCGTCCCCCAGTGTTGTCGAATACCGTGCCGAAATTTTGCCACATTAAAGAATGTTTCAACCTTCGTATTGACGTTTGGATCGGTAGTTACACTACTATACGTCTACAAAATGGCCTGGGGGAACTTCATTGCCCTACCGCGCATGGTACCTAACGTATTAAGTACTTCCGTAAGAGAGTAGTTTGCATCAGCTCCACCAAGCTCTTTGAGCAGATAGGCCTAACGTTACACGTACTCAAGCAGATGACTCGAAGATCACGATCAGTAGCATAACGAGGGGGGGGTAGAGGGGGCTTCAGTCCCCTTAGTTCGGTTCAAGCCCCATCAACTCTGGTTGTAATGCATCCGTCGCCACCCCCCCTCGCCAGCGAGAAGTGAGGATAGCGCCCCCCGCTTAGGCCTCCCATTGGCAAAATCTTGACTACGCTATTGACCATGAATCAGGCCTATTCGGCGCCGTTAGTCGAGAATTTAGTTTATTTTTAAAAGAAAGAGGTAGGCCTTGGCGTGACCTAAAGCCATTCCGTTGGTTAGAGCTAGGCCTAACGTGAGTGAGTCCCGTAGAGAAGCGGGAATGAAAGAGAAGGAAAGTTGAAGAAAGTGAAAGCCGTTAAAAATTGGCTTTCCTATTACCTCTTTTCCTTATTTGTATGATCATTCTACCTGTCTTGGAAAATAATTACACACCATGCAGGCGGAAAATTAGCTTAAATTCTTCGTTGGGGAATTTAAACCTGGGGTGATAATGCCGCCTTGGCGAAAATGTTATGGAACTATTGGTCACGGATCTCTTACAGTCAAATGAACTCTGTACCACAGCTTCCTGCCGAAAGTTATCATGATCCAGCAATGTTTCTTTCAAACCATTTCGTTATTGAAGTGCAAATTTGGTCTTCCATTCAACACTCACTTTTTACTTTGTCACAATCTTTATAGGGAAATAAATATACTCGTATATCATTTAGAGTGCCTCCCATTTACCTGAACTAAATCTTGTAGAAATTGTTAAAGGGAGGCGTTCGGACTAAAGGATATACACTGTATATTTAAGTTCGGTGCGAAACCAGCTGATGTAGCAACGACATTCAGCGTTTCAAGATAAACTACATGGCATCGTCAACAAAGCCTACGCCAGCGCTTATGTAATTTTTGACGACAAATCCTCCATTATATCCGAGTCATGCATCCAATATGAGCATACTTACTTGCTAATCTGCTCATCATTAAAAGCCTCTTTAAGTTCGATTGAAACAACAGAATGCGTTGAACATCTCGAAACGTATTATATTGTTCTATACATTCTCTTTCACTTGATTTTCCGATATCAAATAACATGTAGGCAAATAATTCATTTCCCCCCACTCTGAACCTTGAAACAGGGACTGAGCAAACTTAATATTAGTTGTGACGAATAATGCATTAGGGGATATGCGTTTCATCAGAAGTCAACATTTCAAGAAGGGTAACAATCATTGCAGTCTCGGGTTGATTAATACCCAGATACAACTATAAACTCCAAACCAAGTATGGAATGAGGTGATGATCACTCTTCTCTTCCGTTGCATGCTGGCACTATCGACACATTTACTGGCGTCAGAAAAGACCAACCTGGGAAGTGAGTTTCAAACATTATCGATGTGGGTGAGTCTTGATAACGAGTGCTGAAACGTCAAAATCGCCAGCAGGCTGACTATTTGTAAGACATGCATGTTCGGATTCAGGTTTCACACGCTTACTGTAGATCCAGACATATCTGAGGCATTCCCCAAATCCTCTTGCAAGCGTGA